CCAGCATGTAGTAATTCTGGAGTTATTGCCTGAGGTCCAGGGAATCATGGATGGACATCTGGGGACCCATCAACTGCCCTCCACCAAGTGTCACAAAAGCAACTTCCCACAGACGAGCTCTGAGTCGGTCGACCAGTGTACTATGAATATTCAGCAATGCCAATACTCAAAACCACTTTCAACAAATACTTGCTTTAGGTCATATGCCTCAATTTGGTCTTTTCTACACTCCCTCATATTCCAGTGTGGGGAAACTGGTAATCTGTCTGAATAGGACGTGGGTTTTCCTTACTTTTTCGTTACATGGAGGAGAAATGAAAGAACCACCGTTATTGATAAAGCCAACAGAAGCTGACTGGCCACGAGTATGACTATCAAGATCAGAATTATCACTGATAACTGTTATCCAATGGGTGTCTGCTACGAACTTAGCAAGCTGTATGCATTCCCTACGAGCACCCAGTTGTATGGATGAGGGCACGTGTCAAGACTACGTACGTAGTAAGGGACAGAAGTGGAACTCGGATCCACCTGTTGGATAGTCAGTTAAGAAAGAGCTGGAGCATCCAAACTTGACTAATTGAGGGAGTCCAAAGGGACAGATGAAGGGGGGGCAGGATTTAAGTAAAGCAGCAAGGATCGGTGCAAGGTATTTGAAAAGGAGAAGGGACAGAGTTGGGGGGAAACATTCTTTCTTCTACGAGGTAAATATAACACAAGGGGTCTAGAAAGGTCTGCCCTGACTCTATATAGCCTACCTACCAATCAAAATAAATTGCATTTTACCTGAGCGAGGAGCCGTGCTCAGTCAGAGCAAGGAAAGCGCCACTAAGGACTTCAGTGTGATCCATAAGTGGATTGAAGGCAGTGCTCTCATTGCTATAGCTTGAAAGAGTTGAAATTGTTTTTGCAGAAAATGGAAGAGCCTTAGCTAACTCCATTGGTCATTTATTAGTGAGGCCAGAGTGACCTTCTTGTCTTCAATTACATCCCTTCCCCCACCGCAATGCAGAGATCCTCATGGCTCTGGAATTTTCCTCTCAGTCTTTGCCAAATGCTTAGAAAGCGAGGCCTCCCTCTGTCTAACCCCTAAGCAGACTGGCCTTAAAGGACCCCTTGTGAGAAGCCACATGTTTGGGAATAGATGCTAAGGGAAAGGATCTACGCACCATAGGGGAGACGAGCTTTACCGTTAGTTCAGAGGGGGAAAATCATTTGAAGTTGTCTGAAGGCCATGCTCAGTTGAAAGATGAGAGTTGAAGATCTGACCATATTGGAAATTAGCATTGCTAATGAGGTTTTCTGAGACTCAGAGATTATTCTAATCTACTTAACCTTCCCTATAAATACTCAACCTAACCTTCCCTATAAATACTCAACCTAGAAACACTGCACTTCTATTTTTAATAGTCTAATAATGGACAAATGTTATTTTTAAGGCTCAATGCTAATATCCTCAAACAAGAACCATCAAGTAATGGCATATTGCTTTTTTTCTTTGTCCCTTCCAATGGTGTGTCAGAGAGAGGCCCACCCACCGTTCTGATCTCTGCCATGTCCGAAGATAAGACAGTCTAAGTGGCTGGTGGACAAGACCACTGGCTCTGCAATGACAGATGTGCAGCCAGGTGTCCATCCGAGTATCCGCTGTTCCATGTGGGCCTCGGCGAACTGGACCCTAGGAACCTGAGCTCCTGGAAAATATTTGGTCAGTATGATGTACAACAGGAGCTCCCCACTCTCTTTGACATGTCCTTCCCTCAAATCAGTACGCTGCAACCTTTCAAGAATGTTCCCTGAGTAAAGAAGGGAAAATAGTCTGTGTCCATGAACATGAATGAATCAGTCACCCTTGTTCACCTGCCCTGCGTTTCAAGGCCAAGTCCGTTGATAAACGTTGGTTTCTTTGCCTCTGTTTCAAGCCAACTTGTTCTCTGTTGATTGATTTATTCATTCATGAGATGCTATTAAGCATCTGCTATGTGCCAAGTATTCTTAAACACTATAGCTACGGTGTTATGCAAAACAAATAGGATTCCTCCTTTCTGAGAGATTATCCCTAGTGAAGGAAGATAAGCAGTAATTAAATGAACAACTGAATAAACAAAAATATCAGGCAATAAGTACAAACCCCCCCCCCCCCCACAGCACACATATACATGGCACCACCAACACCAAACAACTGAAAACACGGGGTGACGTGAGGGAGTGACTGGGCAGAGGAGCTTCTCTGAGGGTCCATGGTCCGGGGGAGCAGACAGTAGCACCAAGGTTGGATGACACAGGAAGAGACAGTAGGCAAAGATCAGAGGAAAAGATGCTCCAGAGGAAGGGAAGGCAGGAGCAAAGGCACAGGCCTGTGTGGCTGAGGGGAGGGAGGGAGAGGATTGGAATCAAATAAAACGAAATGTAGATGGGAGTCAGGTGACAGAGGCTTTGAGGCATGGTAAACAGCTTGAATTCTACTTGAAACCTACTGGGCAGCTATCGAAATGTGTTTCTCAGATGAGTGATGTGGTCTCATTTGTACTTTAACCGGCTTAATTTGGGTCATATACGGAGAATGACTTCTACCGATAAGAGTAAATGCAGGGAGTCCTGTTGGGGTGAACTGCTGGGTCCAGGTGGGAAATAATGCGGCGGGGGGCTGACTCTAGGGGAGACACAGAGCATGCCGACACTTCATCGGGACAGACCGTGAGGTGGGGAAAGCGAACCCGACCAGCAGGTTAGAATCAAACTTGTATTAGAAACTTATTTAGTAAAACTTGATCCCAAATGTGCTTTAGAGATCACTCAGAGGACACTCTTCCATGTAAACATGGAAGTAAAGGAGAGAAGGACAAATGAAGGGACAGTCAGGGTCACTGAGCAGACCACTTGCAATCCCAAAACTGAACCTCACACGCAGTCTTCCAGGGTGTTCAGTAAGGTGCCCAAGCCCATCAGGAGTGCAGCACAGCTCGGGCCTGGGCCTTGATGGTCATGTAAACCCCTGCTCAGCCCCAGGGGTGCCCCTGTGTGTGTGAACCCCGGGCAGTGGGAAGAGCTGTCTGCAGGCTCGGTGCATCCACTGGTGGATTACTCGTATCCTAGAGGCTGGATACATAAAAGTGTAAATACTGTGTGGCATCTGGAGCGGAGTGGGCAGCTGCTTGGAACCTGGCGTCCCGCGGAGTCCTAGTCTTGGTTTTACCGGTGAGTGGCTATTACCTTTGGAGAAGTAGCTTCCCTCGGTTCCGCCATAAACTGGAGTAGAAATAGTACCTTCCCCGCGCTGTGAGGTCCACATGAGGAAACTCACTCACACACGCAAAAACACGTGGAATAGTGCCCGGCACAGAGACTGGTCACTGCTATCACATGGAACACACACTTTTTTCCTTTTACTTGATTTGGTGCCCGTAATATTCAAGACCGGGAGAATGAGTCACATCAGCCCTGAAGAAACTATTAACATGGTTCCCTGCAGGTGGGCGGGGACGGCGACCTCTGTGCTGGCCCTGGGCTCTGGTCCCCCTTCGGAGCTGTGGGCTCAGTCAGCCCTTCGTTTGTTCTGCAAATGTTTATTCTGCAAATGCCTGGGGTTCCCCTTGCCCTGCTCCAACTGTGTTTGTTCACTTGCTTAATTTACTCCCTTGAGAAACTCCTTGAAATGCAGTCAGTTTTCAATTGGCGAGGTTGGGGGGCAGTAAGGTTCCTATCAGAATTTCAAAGGAGCCACAGGGTGTAGAGAGTTTGAAGCTTCCGTAAGGGCCCAGAAGCGGTCTGTGTGAAGAACCAGCAGATGGGGGCGGGAGGGGGGCAGCTGAGGAGGGAGCAGGGTTGCAGGTGTGTAGTGTGGCTTTGAAAGCATTGCCTTTGTCATCTTCCTTTTGTTGCCTCACCCCCTGCCAGCAGCTCTGTGAGGTGCTAACATGCCCATTTTGCAGAGGACAGACTGTGGCTCAGAGACCTGAAGGGACTTTCCTCTGGCAGGCTAGTCAGTGAAGGGCCAGGTTGGACCCCAGGTGGTCTGACTCATCCTCCCCTTCAACTCCACAGGGTCCCTGCTCTGCTTGTGGGGAAGGAAGGAAGGGAGCAGGGGAGATGATGGTGACAATTGGTTGTTGGTGCTGTATGTGTGTGTTTGTTAGAGACAGAGGGGGGCGGGGCCCCACACAGGCTCAGGGCCTATTCTGAATTGATCACCACAACTAGAAAACCACAGCCAGCCCAGGTGAGCTGGCCATCACCAACTGCCCAGAAGACAAAACGGACCTGCCTGAGCCAACCTAACACTTCCTGTATGCGGGGGTCTTGAAGTGGGGAACAGGAGGAGGGGCGGACAGGTGTCCTCCACCTGCGCTGAGAACGTGCCCGGGGCAGCCAGAGTGCAGCCTCTGGGAAGTCCGCGGCAGTCCCGCAGACGGGCTGCTCGCGAAGCCACCACTGCAGCCCTTAAGGAGGCCCGTTTGCAGCGACCCCGACACATCACACCTCTGGACCTTTCCCAGTTTCAGACTTCGCAGGAGAAGGCTTTAAGAAACACGCCTGCAACCAATGGGCAGCCAGGTGTAACTTGTTCCTTCCACAGTTGCCAGAGCCCCCAAAGCCTTTCTCCTTACCACCACCCTAAGGATCATGCATGGGTGGTGCGCAAATTTCCCAAATGGGGACTAGGCAGAACACCCAGGCATCTCCCTAAAAAAGAGGGCAAATTTTTAAAACAAACATGTAAATAAACATTTATCTAATCTATGCAAATCTATTCCTAAGGATTTTCTAAAACCACCACTTCCCACCCGCACATCCAACACACAGAACCCTGGCTCTCTCCTTCCCAGTGTTTCTGAGCGCGGTGTGTGCGGGAGGAAGGGGCTCAGAGGAACAGGGGAGAGGGGCTTTCTTCACCACGCCTGCTGCCCTGCCGCGCAGAGCCGTCCCAGGGCTGAGCGCAGAGCCAGGGTGGGCGCTCCCCAGGATGTAGCCACCTCCCCAGCAGCAGGCAGCCCTTCCCCAGAGGGAGGTATCAGGTTGCTGCACTTCGCCTGTGGGTTGTCACTGTCTAATAATATGACCGTTTTGCCATCTCTCTGCGAATAAGGCAGAAGCTGCTACCTGATTGGTATAACATCTCACTTTCCCTCCTCATTGATTTTCCTGTTCCCCTCCTTTGCTTCATAAAACAGAGGGACAAGTGGCTGGTGCTGTGGACGGAGAAGCTTTATTTTTAGTATGAGACAACCTTTATTTTCTTTCAGGAGAGGGAAGTTGGATTATCAATTCTTTTGTAAATGTGTATGGTGATATTTGCTCCGGTAAGTTCTTATCTCTCCTGATTTACAGCTGGCCGTGTGTGTGTGTGTGTGTGTGTGTGTGTGTGTGTGATAGATACAGTGGGGCTGAACAGTCACTTTTCTTTCCAATATCATTTTTGAATCTTTGGTGATAATGTCTTTTTTGTTCGCTTTGCTTTCTTTTATTCATATGTTTAAACTGAAGAGGCTGTGCTGATAGTGTGATGCTTACCTTAGCCGGCGAAGGGTGTGATGGTTTTCTTCTAACATAGTAAGGAAACTAAGCAAAGTTATATTTGGCTTCATAGAAATGTAATCTCATCTACCCCACCCCCCTTTGGGGAGGTTAATGTCCTGAGTATGTTCATTGTGCTACCACCTGCTCACCATTTTAATTAAAGTTTCTTCGTCAGTGTCAGAGCAAGAATTTCTTAAACTCCATAGGTAGCTGCCAAACATTGTGTGCTGTGCCGACAGGGGCGTGCTATCGTCATCAGGTCTTCTCCCAGGTAGAATGGATGGAATGGGGCTTCTCTGAGACTGGGTGCATGCACTTTCAAAGAACTGAATTTGTGAACAGTATTGAGATCATGAAATTCAATCTCTAGCATTCTGTGAAGAGATGTGATCACCAGTGGCTGTCGCTTCTCCTCTGCCTTTCTTTGCATTTGCGCCACCATCTGTCAAATGCCCAGCCCTGGCTCTCCCGTGTCTGCATTGGAAGCTGATTAAGAGAAAAGTTGCTGTGATTAAATTCAAATAGTGCAAAATGACTATCTAGTCACTGCTGCTAGTAATGATTTTTAAATGCATTACCTGGTTAACTGCTGTTTCGTGTGTGTGTGTGTGTGTGTGTGTGTGTGTGTGTGTGTGTATACACACACACACATACAGTATTAGAGGGTCTGAGTTCTTTATTGTTAATTCGGAAGTCTGGGAGAAAGTCTATTAATATAATTATCCTAGACAGAAATGATAGGATGATTAACTAATTGCTCTAATGGAAACAAACTGATGCTTTAATCTCTTTTTTTGTTTGTTTGTTACACAATCAACAAGCCTGCATAGTTTTTCCTGGTGAAGTGAACTAAAGAATGTAAGCTAAATCTTCACTTGCAATGAAAGTTGAAGGCATTGTTGAATCAGAGGCAAGAGGAAGCCTGGCCATATATTTTCAGAGATTTTGAAAGTAAAGTCGGAATATCACACATGTCTAGACCTCTCAGGCATAGAATCTTTTTCAGAATGGCAATTCTTCAATCCCGAAGTAGGCTCCTGGAGCTGGCCATGTGCTTCTGGGACGCTCCGATCCACCCAGGTCTGCTTCCTTTCAAGCATTCCTCTCTGCACACATTCTTTGCACACTGCACAGAGACTATTCATTCTGACAAACAGAATTCTGAATTTTGATTAGTGCAGCTCAGCTTCGAAAATAGACACATCCTCCAAACCCACATGAATTTATGATGTTGCCTCATTCGGGTCACAATAAGCGGGTTCCTACTAACATCTTAGGTGCCATAAACCCTCCCAGAATAGAGTTCCTTAGCTGAGCGTTTGTAGAAAAAAAACAAATACAACTTTTATGGTCTGGCTGTTGGCAGTTACTGCAGAGTCAACTCAACAGCACTAAGCCTCCCTCTCCCTCCCCAACATCCCTCAATGTTCTTGTCATCATTCTCCTTTCACGGCTGTTGGAACATGTCATGTTCGGAGTCGTGAGGGAGTTTATGATCCTCCGAAGTTGTTCAGTGACGTGAATTAATGAGGACGTGAGGAGGCCGACATCCCACGGGTGAGCCTTGCCTTTCCCCCCAGGTTGCTCACCGAAGAGCTCCCAGAAGTGTTAGTGCTCCGGGGTGTTCAGACCTGTACCACAGAGACGACAGTGGGACATGTGTATCTGAAAGCGGTCAGGAGCCTTAGTTTGACTTAGGGGGAGTGTGCTCAGCAGTCTTTAGAAGCGTCGCTTTGGAAAAGTCCAGAACGTGATGGCCAAAAACTGTTGTCATCTATTCCAAGGAATAAAATTCCCTGCCAAGCTGCGGAGAATAATAAAGGGGACTTTTATTTCACAGTGAGATCATTTATTGTTTCTAGCAAAATGAAGAGGGCAATAGTGATGTCCGTTTAGTAAGGGCCTCTATGCCTGGCACTGTGCTAAGCATTTACATGGCTTATTTCCTTTACTTCCCACACCACTCCGTGAGGGAGATAAGTCACCTCCCCAGTTTACAGATGAGACAGTGGAGGCCTAGGCAAGTATGCAACATGCTTGAGGCGACGCCAGTGAAACTCAGCCACCAGGCAGGCTCCTTCCAGAGCCCTGCTTTCTCTCTCCTCGGTGGCCCGGGTCTCAGTTCATCGGCACAGTCTGCAGTAGGCTCCCAGACCGGAATGATAGCCGGGCCTTCCGACAACACACCAGCTTTTCGTTCATTTTCCTCTTTTCTGACACACATAACCTCCTTCTTCTCAGACTGTGACACTGGAGTATGTGTGTCTTATGTCCACTCAACTTGTGCAGCTACAAAGACGTGGACGTGACCGAAGGGAGCCAGCCTGGAAGAGATAGAGCCAGAAGTGGCTAGATTAAGGTAGCTTTTCCACTGATCAAAAGAAATCCATCCCTTTACCTTTCAAGGAACAGAGAGTAAAAATAAAGGGGTGACGATAACTTAAAAATATCAGCATCTCAAGGTATCTGGTTTGTCATTGATGCAAAATAGAAGAAGCAGTTGCAATGGAATTGATATATTTGTGGAGAACACGGTAGAATTCGCGCCTTCCTTTTGCTCCCCCAGCCTGCTTTCTGTCACTCTGGGACTAGCTGCAGGGCCCGAGCTGGCAGCCCAGGCAGATGAGTGCAAAGCACCTCCACCACCTGGGTAACCGAAAGGAGCACAGCTTCCCGCCAGCAGGCTGGGAAGCTGGCAAAGTCACAGTCCCCAGATGCATTCCTTTGCACCGGAGTGCCGAGCTCCCCATTTGAAATCCATCTGAGTGAATAAAATTCAGATGAGTCTTCTAGGAGAAAATGCAGACATAGAATCAATGTTTGAAATTTCTCCTCAACCAGCAGTTTTCCGGCGAGAGGCAGGGAATGCCAGTCACGAGGTGAGTCTGAAATGCTGCCTTCGCTTCCCTCGGGTCAGAGAGAAAGGATGATGAGGGATGAAAATGTTGCCCGATGATAGACCTGGCTCAGGACACCCAACTGTATTTCTCCGAACAGCAGGGGAGTGAACCAGCAAGCAAAACCAGCCCGGCACAAATTGGGAGCAGTAAGAGGCAGGTTTTGAAGTGTTGACACATTATTGATTTCTCGGTGTGATCTTTTCTGTCCAATAAGCAATACCTTTTGAGCTACGCCTGGTGTAGACACCCAATTAATTAAAAAGAGTTCAAAGGGGGTACACAATAAAATATGTTTCTAAGGTGGTAGTCATGTTTGTCAGAGGCAAGGTTGGTAACTTATTGATTCTCTATGACTTCTTCTTCTTGCTCCTAAAGAAATAATTGGGTGGTTTAGTCAGAAAGTGTGATATTAGAGCCAATCAGGATCAAAGAATTTAAATCAATTTGCTTTCCCATCAGCACTTATGAGAGTTCTAAAAATACTGAGTCGTAAAACGAGTACTTTTACAGTAATGGTGTCTGTTGTGCTCAGCCACAGTGCTCATCCCGTAATACTGAAGTTAGAGATAATTTTATCGATGGCATCATATTTCAGTCTCCATCTACAAAATACAGCTTTCTTCAGAAAGGTGGCCAAATCCAAAATAAAGAATGAAGACTATACTTCACCTTACCTGTGTTTCCTTCCTCCTTTTCTTTGGCTCTGATGCGTGTACCTACACATGCTGATCATTAAGAACTTAAAAATGGTCTAGTACGCGTGGAGAAAGCAGCTGGTGTTAAGACATGATGAGTGTTGGACTAGCCTTGAATATGTCAGCAAACATCCTCAGCTGGTACACAAACAGAGCGGGTGTCCTGTTCCGTACTGATGTAGGAAAATGGGAGCGATGAGGATCGGAGCTGGGAATGAGCACGTGAAGTATTAACTCCTCTAAAAGAGGCTCTTGGTCACTGGTACGTCTTTAAATGTTCCAAGGATAGAGATGAGTTTAAAATGGAAATGCCTCAGTCTCTCTACTCTGCAGACTAATGGATCTGCATGATTAATATATTTTACAGTGATCCTTTTTTAACACAGATTCTAGCCAAAAGTAATAATGGAAAATTGTTCTGGGGTAACTTCCACTGCATTTTCTGGAAAGCTCATTCTCAACTCAGGGCAATCAGTTCACTGTGGGACTTTGGGATGGCCAATGTATGTGTACAGTCATGTCATCACGGTCCTTTGGGGGACTGATGTATTACACACAAAAGGCTTCTGTTGAGAGTCCCCGTGTGACTGTTTGCAGAATTTTTAATTCTACCCCAATGGCCACACATTGTCTCAGTGTAGACCTCCTGGCAAAGATATGACAAATACTTTAGACTTATTTTATCTCTGGTAAAATGTGGCTTTAAGAATGCTTGTATCCAGTTTGAATTATTACTGCAAGGACTTTTTATTTCACTATATTTACATCCACCTCTCAATGATGAACCCATATATTTTCATTTGGATTGATCTCAATAAGGGAGAAAAATGTATACAATGTTTCAAAACGTACGGCATTCAAATGGTCTTCCTATGAAATTGAATGTGGAGACAAAAATAAGCTTTATTAGGGCACCTATGAGGAAAGGGTTAGGGCACTGACTTCGCCAGGCTGGCCTTCTATTCATCAAAGACTTAAGGACGCTTACCTTGCGGAAGGCATCGTGCCAGGGTGGGAGGTCAGCGATGATCAGATCAGGTCTGCACTCCCAGACTCAGTGCCTTCATTTCCCACTTCTCACCTAAATCTACTTTCTATTTCTTGGCCCAGGATGCCTCTTCTTAAAAACATAACTGAACTGCTCTGGTAAGACATTTACAAGAAATTTGTGCCTTAGGTCCTAGCTAT